CCCTTTCTTCTAGAGTCAATCAACTTGGACTTATTTTCCGTGGATCATCTTGCTCGCTGTCAAGCCCAGTCGTTTCTTTTCCTTTCGCCTTTTAATGTTATAGGTGTGTGAATGGAGTGATAGAAGAGAAATATTTCTTTATTCTCCTCTTAGATTAACCAGATGCGTCATGTGCAATGGACTGTATAGTTTCAGGGACGCTCGGCTGGGTTTTGATAATGCTTATGATAATCCTTTCAATATTTCTAAACACTTTCATTTCGACAGACACAATTACGTTTCCTGATTTGGAACCCAAATAAGTTTAGTATTTTTCGGACCTATGAGTAACATTATGATAATGCAAGCTTTTTAATTCTCGGTATGAATTCCTTCTGCGCTCTTTTATTTTTCCAAGCTTGGGACCTAGTAGCCTGTACCAAGCCTTACGTTGGAGATGAACGAAAGAGAGAAAATCTGTTTTCCTCTCATTTTTTTCTCGTTTGCCTCTGGAACAGGCCATGGTAACTCTCTGTTACATCTAACGGTGACTGATTCTCAATTCCCAAAAGAAACTTTCATGAAACAAAAACAAAATTCGAGGCCGATTCGATATTGCAACTTTTAAACAACTCGCTTTGTTCCCTCTCTTTCAATTTCTGAAGTCAGTTTGACTCCCAGTAAAGAGCATTTCGTCTATGAGATTTAATTGACGAATGGCCAACAAAGCGAGGTTTAAACGCGTCCATGGAATTCGAAAAACATTTAAAGAGCCGTCTTCACAGAACTTAAAAGATGGTAGACGTAACCCAGAACATGACACCATTTCACTCTGGATATTAGAAGCGGATATACATGTTGTCTGGAAGATAATGATCTTAAGGATTCTTGGAAGCCAAGCAAATTCCACGAAATGTTGTGCATTGGCCAACAATTAGACAAGGTCATCCAGGATATCATATTCCGAAAGAAGTCACGGCATTGGGTGTACTGTTATTATTTCATGCATAGTTATCTGTGAAATAAATAAAAATAACTAAGGTTCGCGGAAAATAGTCCGCCACGACAAATTAAATTATAAAGGTTCTCATTTTAGTCTTTCAAACTTTGCCACGATAAAGTTTGCATTTGTTTGTCTATAATAAATAATGAAAACAAAACATGTATCATGAAGGGTGAGTGGTGTTTTTGGGTTTGCTTTAGTCTTACAGGATTATCTCCGCTAACCTGTTTTTCCTCATTTCCTTATTTTTAATCGTTCCTGAGATAGCAGCTTACACCAAATATCCTACTGCCCCCTTGAACTATACTTAATCATCAGAAACACAATATATTCGTTGATAGTGTTTATTCACACGTTTAATTATTGCTGTTACGATAAGATATATTTCAAATATTTCTTCAGCAGGTCATTCAAATTTAACACCAAAAGAGCAAAGAATATGTTGTTCTTTTCAGCAGAAAAAAACCAAAATGTTTTTGCTTTTAAAATTTATAATAGCTCTTTTGTAACATTTCTACAAATAGTTAATTTTCCTATGGCTAACATCACACAGTAACATCGGTGATTTAAATTCAAGACTCCCCGCTTAAAATTTTGATATGAAAGACAAGTAATTTGCAAAATTTCGAGGAGTAAGGACAAACCCATATTGGAGCAATCATATCGCAGACATGAGGTTAAAATTCGCTAAACATCCTCCTCACATACATTTAAGCAACCTGGTAAGTTTGAGGGTAAGCTTGGCGGTGAAAGTGATAACACATCGACAAGTGCTACCTTCGGAACCTTTCTACTTGAACGCAGTCAGACAAATTTCTATAACGAGTAACTGATAATGCTCAACTGAAGGAATTTTGCTTTTTCGCTGGAGTCTACTTTATGTAAAAGAAAAATTCAAAAATCTAGTCTCTCACTTATTAGAGAGTTACGTTTTCTTAATTAACCTTAAAATTACCCCTCTTACCATAAAAACGTATGACCGGTTGAGTTATGATAGGAACAAATATTTCTGAATAAAGTCAAAACAAATTTTGCGTTAGTAAATTTTGAATAGTAAAACTCTCCTTTTACAGGAAGTGTTTGAGATATCAGATATACTTTGCTGTTCTTTTCATGCATGCTTCTAATCTTCTTTGAATTATTCCAAATTATTACAAAAAAGCACTCTCCTTAAGCAGTGCTGCTTGAAATTCATTATGCAAAATAACTTTTGGAGAGGTAGATTTATTATTATGTCTAAAAAAGTAACATATCGATCTTCAAGTCAGAGATAATGTCAAGTCAGTTGTTCAGTGAAGGGCTCAAAGTTCCTCGTCGATTCATTCTTAATTCAGTATGAAAAGAGCGTCCATTCCTTTCAGCGAGGGTACTCATCCTTTGGAAATTTATTAGGATGACGGTGTAGAACTTTCCGGATCTCATGCTTGTTGCCAAGGTCTTCGATAGTCTCTCTGAGTTTGTAACACATTTTTAGTCCACTTTTCATTGCTTCTATCATCGATCTTCTTTGTTTTCTTTGTCAAACACAAGGGCCTGCTCTGTTTTCACCATCTTGCTCGTATTCATTTCGGCGCTTGGCATTTCTTCCAGCAAACAACAATGTTGCCACCCGTTCAGGATGATTAGGGAGTTTTTGCTCGCAGATTTTGAGTGCTTTCTCGTACACCTCCTTAGGCTTGTTGGGTATCCTTTTATCTGAGATAAGGCGAGCATGACTGTGGAGATATATAACTTCTGATAAAGGACTCTCGCCGAATTTAATTTTGTGTTCTAAATACAGCTTTTCTGTCTTCTCCATGCAGTCCTCGTATTCTTCTCCCTCTCCTACTTTTCTCATTTCATGTCCATGAAGACAATACAGTTCCACTTTGTGCACAGGATGAGTATCTGGATGGACGGTTCCATTTAGCTTTGTTAAGAACTCGATGTAAAATCTGGGAAGGACACACTTCTCAAGGTACATTAGTTTCTGGGGAAGACTG